AACGTCGAGGCCAAATCTGGCCACGTTCCCCCCAGCCGTTGTGGATGCCCTACGGGGAACACGTGGGGGAGGAAGAGGAGGATGGAGAAGGACGAGGAGAAGGATGAGCAGACCTCTTGGAAGCTTCTCGGGTCACACTTGGGGGGGGCCTCCTTGGAGGCATCTTGGGGGCCTTTGGGGGCTTCTTGGGGCCCCCTTTGATTGTCTTAGGGCGTTCTTGGCCCGTCTGACGCCGTCGGGAGCCGTCTTGGAGACCTCTGTGGACTGTCTTGGGGCCCTCTTGGGGCGCTTCGGGGCTGTTGGGGCCTCTTGGGGCCGTCTCGTCTTGGGGGCCGCCTGGCCTGGGCCGCTATGGGGCCATCTTGGAGGCCTCTTGAGCGATCTAGTGGCGATCTTGGGGGCTCCTGGATCGTCTTGGGCCGTCTGAAGGCCGTAAAGAAGCAAATGTCCAAATCCTCCAGAAGCCTCAGGAAATCAATCATTTGAGCCTCTTCAGGCTTTCCTAGAGGACCTCTTGGAGGCCTTTTGGGCCGTCTTGAACACCTCTTGGACGCTTCTTGTGCCGTTTTGGGCTCTCTTGGACCATCCGAGCGGTCTTTGAGGCAACTTCGGACCATCTTGGAAGGCATCTTGGGCCTATCTTGCCGTCTTGGAGGCCATCCTAAGCGGAAAAGCTGACAGGAGACGCAACCGTGTAAGCTTTCTGGATGGCCGGCGCGTTGTACCGAAGCCTCAGGGGGAGTTCGAAAAGAACCAATAACCTCCTGAAGTTTGGCACTCCGGGCACCCCTACGACAAGCACAGGGGGCGGCGGATCGAAGACGCCTACGGCGAATCACCGCCGCCCCCTGTCTTTCAGGATACGCCCATGTGGCCAAACGTATTAGGCCACGTTTGTCCACGCTATTGGACCAGGCTTTCCCCCAGCCGTTGTGGAAGCCCTTCGGGGAACACGCGGGGGAGGAAGAAGAGCATCCGGAGAGGGATGAAAAAGGAGGATGAGGAGAAGGATGAGGAGACCTTTTGTGATCTTCTAGGGTGACTCTTTGGGCATCCTGGGAGCTTCCTGGCGGTCTCTTGAAGGCCTCTTGGGGACCTTTAGGGGCTTCGAGGGGAATCTTGGCCGTCTGGAGGCCGAGAAGACCCGC